TGTGCATATAATAGAGCAGTGATTCTCAAGCAGGGTGTTGTGCAAACACCTACACAATTTACAAGATAAATCCAGAGATTTCACATAGGAGTTTGGAAAAAAACCCAACATTCTGACCTGTTGTGGGCTTTCTGAATTCTTTGCAGTAGACAAATTGCTCTATTGTTTGGAGTGGAAGCTAAGAGCTGGCATTGTCTGAGGGGTGCCTTGAGTCTAAAAAGGCTAAGAACTAGTGTTATACAGAAATAACAGAAAATGATTCTACAAGCAACATTTTCAATGGATTATTTTATATATTGCTTGCTTAAAGTTACTGCAACATCATAACAGCAGCCTTCTCTAGCACAGCTTTCAGGTAGAATGGTAAAAACAATACTACAGTTGCTGCTTGCTACTGGAAGAACAGCAATTGAGGCACAAATATTTGTAATGCTTAGCAAGTAACAAAACCCACCAATCTTCTTTTCTGGAGTGATAATAGGTGCAGTTTCTATTATTTGCATAGCAGTTTAGCCTCCAGGCTCCACATTCTCAAGCTCCATTCCCTTCCTAAAAGATGGAATTTTTAGTGTGTCAGATTGTGCCCTGGAGAGGTGGCATCTGAACTGGGAAGGGGGGTGGCAGTGCTCAGCTACATATTTGAACAGGCTCAGGAACAGAAGTAGCTGTAGAATTCGGGAATATATAACAACTGCAGTGCTTTCTATCATTATTCTGTTGCAGGCACCAGTTTGTATTGCCTCTCCTGTAAAATATCTTGATTGAAACTATGTTTTTGGTCGATAGAGTAGCAAATAGGTCTTTGAATACAATTTCTTATTTGAGGAGGATTTCATTGGCAATTGGCTGAGCAAATTCCCACTCACAATAACAGCTGTGAACCCTGCTGAGGGCATCTGTTGGGTAGTTAATACTTGTTGGGAAGTATCTCACTTTGAGTGCATTTTGTTTACAAAAAAAATTCCTGTGCTTTTTAACACAATGTTAAAGATATTGTACCTCCTGTTTGTTTACATATAATGTTCGATCTGTGTTGTCTGTGTTCACTCGTACTGATTTTCTTCCCTGCAGGGGGCTAAAGTATTGAAGGGCTTTTTTTTTTTTTGATTGTCTTCAAGTTTCAATTGAGTTATAATAATACTAGCCTAGATACAAAAAGGTTATTACACAGAGTGCTGCATAGGGAATATTGGCCCAATTCGCTTTTTTTTAACGACACCAGTGTAAGAGAAGGAGAAATTCCATTGGAGTTTCACCATTGCTATTAAATCTTGCATACACAGGGGGATAATCAGGACCTATCTGTCCATGAAGAGTTTCTGCACCAGCCATATGAAAAGAACAGTTGCATCCTTTGCAGCAGGGGTGTCAAACTCACTTGGCCCTACAGGCTGGATGAGTGCACAGGGTTGACGCTGTGGGCTGGATTAGGCCCAAAGACCCCCTTGGTGCATATGGTATTTCCTTCAGCAGGTCTAGGACTTAACAGGAAGCAGCCTGGCATCTCAGGTGTTTGGTTGCTGCTGTAGGAACAAGCCGTGGTGATGCTGGGGCTCCACTACTGCATGCCTCACCCAGGTGCTTGACCACTCTGGGAATGTTCCCTGTCACAGCCAGAGCTGAGGCAAAAATCTGTGGACTGGATGACCTGGCTTTGTGGGTTGAATCTGGCCATGTGCTAGATGTTTGACATCCCTGCCTTACAGTATGTGTAGTTCTTAAAAATGCAGGATTCACACAAAATCCTCTCTTGGTGCATGTGCACCTTCCTCACATTTAAGATGGACTACTTTGGCCTGTGGTGTTCTTTAGAGTCATGCCCATGTCCCAGGGAACCTTGAATAACTGCCTTGATGGCATAACATACAGCATGGGTGCAGCCATCGCACTCCCTTTGTTATTAAAGAATTTTAGAGGAACAGGACTCAGTAGAGAGAGAGAGAGAAAGGAAGCAGGTTGACAGATCTGTGTGGACAGTATCTTGAAAAACTATGGTTAGGAAGGGGTGTAAGTAACCACTCTTTCTTCAAGTGATTGCCTACAGAGATTCCCCTCTTGGTGACTAACAGCAGCCATCTGGGGCATGAAGTAGAATATTGGAATCCCATTAAATTAATGACTACTGCACAGCCTTACCAAATCCAAATCCAGACAGCCCATCCAATCCAGAAGCCTCTGCTAAACAAAAGCATCTTGTAAATTTGAGGGACAAGTTTCATCTAGCTGCCTTACAGACTTCTGATATACAGAACTTCTGAAACACTAAGGGCCTGACATCTCTCTTTTCCTTCCAGCTGATGTAGCGGTTGCTAGTAAATGTAATCTTCACTGAAAGGCAGTATATGGCTCAAAGGGGACAGTCACCAACCTTGATCATAATTACAGTATATGGACCCCAAGAAGGAGATGGCTCCCAAACTGGGGAAAAAAACCACACATGAGGCTCTTTGGGCATATTCTGCCACTGTAGGTCAAGAAAATGCAGTATGGTCCCAGACTGGGAAGCAAGGCACAGATAATGCTGCTAGATGGAAGAAAGAGCCTGATTGTTTTTTTTAGGTGAAGCAAACAGTCCAAAATATGATGCAGCGTACACAATAAGGTTTCATTTCTCAGCTAACAGACAGTAGGATGGAACTACAGGATGGTTAATCCCACTCTGCCTTTATGTGGAGAGGGGCATGAGGACTACTAGGGCATGGGTCTGCCTCTAGTGGACATTGCTGACCATATGAATTTAAGCTCATGCTCCCATGGTGTGTGCGCACCAAGGTGGACAACCATTCACACAACAGGGCTTTTAGGAGAGAACCAACATCAATGAAAAGTAAAGGGCACTTGTCTAACTATATATGCTAATCACTTAAGTTGGAATTTGGAAGTACTGTGTGGCTAACACCTGTATTCTTGCAAAATACCAGTATGCTACAGAAAGGTTAATGGGAAGTCTGCAGCATTTTGATTTTACCTTCCATGTGAAAGCTGACCACTATGGTAAACAAACATCCTCCTGTTGGGATATTGGTTTAGTATGGTGACAGAAAAAGTTGTATTATGGTTATTTTACACAACACATATTTTCTGAAGCATCTGTTTTGTCCTTTCAGTTCCCTCATCCAAATATGAGTAGGACCACTGGGTCTGTCATGATTACAGACCAAGTAGCAGTGTAGTCTGGACATTCATTATTTTGATATTGTACCCATACAGCTATGCCCCCACACACCTTCCAATTTTGAAATAACTTAGTAGCAATGTTTTCAGAAATACATCACCAATCCATGTAAAGCATAATTTTTATCATATTTGATGCAACAAATAATGAAGGAAAAGTAAACATTTATTTTACAGTGATAAAAACTACTGTGCCTAAGGGGGTATAACTTGCCAAATGAAGGCTGAAGTTTGTGCTCACATATGCTGGTATAACTCCAGAGATTTATCCCTGCTTTGTATGGATATAAACTGACTACAGACAGATTCTCAGGACATTTTTTATTTGCTCACATACCAAACATGTTACTAGTTTGTTCTGTTTTCAGATCCTTGTGCTTGAATCTGGTGTAGTTTTAAAATTATTTAATCTGTTTTGGAATCGGAGAATATGGAGCTTCTTCACTTGCCTTCTATTAAATTTCACAATAGACTAAACCTCGTCTTACTGAAGCATTGTAATGGTGGGGCCCTGAGTTGCATATTGATATTGTATCCTGTATAATACCGCTGTGATAATATAGACTTCCTTGTAAAATCGAGTACTTTGTAAACAAACTGCTACTGAATAACATACGTGAGTACAAAACTTGCTTTTTTACTTGCATCACGTAGCCAAATTATAGTGTTATTCCTAAAGGGCTTTGAGGAAGGTGCAGCTAAGTTGGATGGTTCCGTGTAGCATGTAGGAACAACTACTTGCTGAAAGCATTTTTAAAAGGCATCTATCAAGGCTTTGTTATACATCCTGAAAAATGGTGTACTTCAGACACACTGCTACTACTTCTGATGTAGACCTCAGAATAGAACAGATCCAAAGAAGCTTAAGGGTTAGGATAACTACATTGTGAAAAACCTCACCATACTGCGGATAAAATTAGGTTGTGTGTTAACTGTTTGGATATTAAATATTTTCTGGTAGCCAGTGACTGTTAAAAAATTAAATTAAACCGAGAAACCTCTACTCTGGAATGGAACTGTTTTGTATCACATGAAACCCCAGTGTTGGCAGGTCATCATGTTGGTAGCAAAGCACTGTGCAATGATCAGCAACTTCAGTTTATTTTGAACACATTTCGGTCTACTATATTTGGTCTAGATAATGCTTTAGGGCCATGTATATGATTCTGTACATTGCTACTATCACACTAACCTCACAGTTTTAAGGTTCAAGATTTTTAATATATACATATATACACACAGAATACAATCATACCTACATGGATATAATTTAGCTCATACATAGCTGTATTAAGTTAATGTTATTTCTTGCATGTTGTCAGATTTAGGATTTTATCTTCTTGCCTCAACATTGGTGAGCATATGCAGGTGTAAGATGATCAGTCACTTACAAATTTTTTCTTACCTAGTGAATTTTATAAATTATGATTATTCACTGACAATAAAAGGTCACCATCATAGTTTAACAATGGTAGTACATTGCTAACTACTCTATGCTAATACCGTGTTGATTAATTCAGAATCTTTATCATACCCATTGGGCCAAAATAAATTTGGCACTTCATTTCAGGAAAGGTGAAAGTAAACTAAATCAGCAACAAAAAATGACCATAGGGATAAACTAACTGAAAACATAAATTAACAGAATAATCTTGGCAAACTTCACATAAAAGGAGGAAAGGTTTTTGCTAGTATAAAAGAACAGTGACATCTTGTGGGGATAGAGAGAAATAGTTGTTCATAAGGTCACAGCAAACTAGTCTGATGATAATGTTTGTGCACTGAAAATAATCACTCCTACAAAAGTTTAATACATATACCATAAATAGTGTTTGGTAGCAATTAGGCTTTATTGCTCTTACAAAGAAGAACGAAAGGTTAAAAAAAATAAGAAGTAGGTAACTGGTAAAAAAAAATTCTCAAAACAAAACAAATGGAGTGTAGTGCAGTTCAAACAGCTCTGCAACAGCTTTGTTTTCTGGAAGTGGTTAGATTGTTAATCATTGCAAAAGTTTCACTCATACAACATTGTAATAAATGATTTAAGGGACATGTCAGACACAAGGAATTATGTCAAAAAGACACACAGTCAAACAAAAAATATCTGTGATAAAAATGACATCAATATAAAGTGTTTTAAAAAATGTACAAATAAATATTGTTTTAATAAAGAAGTATGGATAATTATGCTTTTTCTTTCAGTAGATGATGGACCATGCCAAATAATCTGTCATATGTATTGCATAAAAATCAATTTTTTCTACCACAATGGGAAATAAAATAACAGATAGCCTGCATCCCAATACAGTACATATGGTTCGGACCTTCATATTGTATTAGAAGAGTGAATATCACTTTCTGGGCCAGATCTTCAGCTGGCATAAAGAGTCATAGGTCCAGGGAAGAACCATGACAATTTAAAGCAGACAAGGAAGATCTTGCCTCAGTTCTTTTGTAACTAACAATCTGGATTATAAAAACATAAACATTACATCTTGAAAAATGATATATTTTCCTACCATAACATAAAATGTTCATCTCATTTCATTTTACCTGAGTAACCTAAGTAAACAGATTACAAGGCAATTTAAACATATTCGCTAATACAAGGTTTATAGGACTTCTGATATATAGAAATGCACCTTGACACTATCTATTTGCAGTTTTACAAATACAAAATGGCTAGGAATTTTTAAAACATATTTACTGAACAGCAATGTCTTTGATGTTCTGTACAAATCAGTAGGTGCAATGGAATTATGTACAGGAATTTTTACAGATTTTGTGCAACTTGGCTTTCATGTGCATTTAAAGAACTGCTGTCAATATCACAGAATTCACATATCTGTTAATATTTACCAGTGCCAGGAATGGAGATCACAGAAAAGAGGACAACAGCTCCTAAAGTAATACTGTGCTATGAAGACATCTGTACATAATTCAAATAGTGCATATTATCAATGTTTGATGACGAGTATTATATAGCAGCAAATACAGACAACGGCATTTACAGATTCTAGGTTTGTGGTATTGTATTTAAATAGGAATGAATATTTGTATATATAAACATCAAAGAAAGAACTGGAATTTGTTGGGAAATAATGTAATACTAAGCTTTCAGTTCAACTTGCAGAAGATTAGTGCAGTAGAAAAAATCCTTTACAACAGAAACAAAACCATTCAGAAGCATTGTCAACTCAAAGGTTAATTCGGTTTATTTCATAACTGTAGCAACTGAAAGTTAAAGAAAAACCAACATGAAAATGAACATTAGTTATATTTGATGGTAAAGTGTACTTCCCTACAAGTACCTGTCAGACATTCCCTCCTTTTTTGTGCTCTGTTCACTCCACTTTTCTTTTTTTTGTTTGTTTTTGTTTCTTTAACATTTGACATATTTGCTCTCATTGAAGCACAAGGAGTCTGCTTAAGCAATTCTCAGTGCCTTGGTGGAAAAAAACTGTAGGAACATAGTCATTTTTACGAGGTAAGCTTGGAGTAACTTGGAGGAGAAAATTTACGCTTCAAGTACTTGAGTATGTAAAGTGGAAGACAGCTTACAACAGTGATTGCTGACACTTTCCACAGGAAGGTCACAGTTGTGATAAAGGCAACATCTGTGGAAATAAAAATAAAAATAAATTATGAGATGATAACACAGATTGCTGGGACTTCCACATTGCAAAGTAAATATATATTTTAAAATTGTTATCCTGTTTTACTATTTAAGACCTTACTATAAAGAAACATACTGTCTATATTTGAGAAAGACTTTTTAAAATTTTTGAGTTTTCATTTAGTTTTTGATAATGCAGATTAATCAATTATGGACAGCAATAACTATTTTAGAATCTCTCTGATGCTGAGTAAAATCACTGAAGCAGCATAAAGCATACGGAGCGGGGACAGAATCTCACCTGAAAAATTGTATACTGACAATATAAAAAGCTGTAGGTTCTTGCTTAGTTTTTTTTTTTTTTTTTTTTTACTGATACTGATAATATTTTTTGCTATTGATGCATACTTGGTATTTCCATTCAGTGTTGCTTGGATTTAGAACATACTTATGTTAAGATTTCAACTCCCTCATCCATTTGTTAGGACAAGTTTCTCATTTTTCTTTTGAACTTAGAATGCTTTCCTCAGAAATAATATAATTCACATACAAAAACTGTAATATAAAATATTTTGCAGCTTTCCCTTCCATTTTAATATTGCTTAAATATTTAATTTGATATGAAATAGGCACATGTACACACAATATTCATTTTAGTTTGGTGGCAGAAATTCACAATAGGCACAGCATTTACTGTTATTGCTAGGGGTGCACCAATAGAGATTTTGGAGGCTGAAACCGGTAGCCGATTTTTAAGGAGGCGTATCTGCTGATACGGATCCGATTTCCAATACAGAGCCTGGCAGCTTGAAGAGCTGTGTGCAGCCGTATGTTTGTTGTGGTGGAAGGGGAAGGGGGGGGAGGGA